TCCGCTCCCCCCGACCCCCCCGACCCCCTCCGGCCTGCCACTCACTCAGGCCCGACGCCAGCGCCTGCTCGTTGGCCCACATGGCCCACTCGATCTGGCCCATGGCGAGGACCCTGGACGCTCACCGCCACCGGGACGAGTCTGCAGCCCACCCCGCAAGCCCTCGACGTATCGCCCCGCCCCGCAGGCCCCGCCCGCACCCGGTCCCGCCCCCTCCGCAAGCTCCGCCTCCGAGCTGCGTCCCAGGGCCTCCCCTTTCCTGGTCCCTCTATCTGAAGCCTCCACCGTAGGGCAGCCTTCCTCAGCCGGAAGGTGCCCTTGACGTTTAGGACTGCCTGTGACTTGTGTCCCCAGGAAACGTCCCCTGGGGCACCTGACCTGGCTCCTAGTTAACGGGTAATAGCTGTACTGACGGGGATGAGGTTACTCCAAGCCCGTCTGGGCGGGTACAGGTGTGGCCTGGGTCAGACTTCAGGACTCACAGGTCCATGACTAACTGGAGGGAGGTGGACATGCTGTACAGGGCTGGGAAAACCCAGAAAGCAGGGGCAGCCAAGCACTGCGGCACTGTCTGGTCTACACTGGCTCCCACAGCAGCGGCATCTGTTGAGGTGGCATAGGGGAACAAGGGGCAGGAGACTGTCACAGGAGGGCTCAGGGCAGGTGCTGGCTTGTGGGCACAGTGGGAACCATTCCAGCGGGACCTACTTCAGGCCCCATCTCTGGGCCACAGAGGGGAACTAGATGAAACTCTCCAGCGGCTGGGGACCTGGGCTGTAGAGAGAGACTCCAGAAAGCGCTGGCTTAGGAAGTAAAGCACATCCCGGACAAGTGGTGGGCAGCAACATGGTTTATTCCTGGTGTCAGAAGGCCCAGCACCTTCATGTGCCCACACCCACATGGACCCCACCCTGTGGGCTCAGCAGCCTCTACCCTCACAGGGAGGGGGGTCACTGGTCACTATAAAGAAATGTTCCCATTCACAGCATGGTTGGGGTTCAGGAGCCCAAGCCTCAGCAGAGCCACTGCCAGCAGCAGCCAGCCTCCTCTGTGGGTTCCTGAGGCCTGTGGAGCCTCTTCACTGGGAGGACAGACTCCCGTCCCTGATGAGCTCCTCTTGGAACACTGGAAGGCCCAGAGCTTGGGTCAGGGAGCCCTTCAACAGCCAGCTGGGGAACATGAGGCACTTGGAAGGGGACTAGCCACCAGCTACCTAGAGAGCCGTGCACTGCTGCTCTACTTCCCCCAGCACAGCACCATCACCAGACAGCCCCACAGGTCCCTACAGGCAAGGCTGACCATCACACCAGCTCCCTAATCCCAACAAGCATCTCCTTCTCCAAATGGCATGTGTGATCCAACATGGAAGAGGTCAGGCGTGGAAGAGGTCAGGCAGCCCACTGTGGCAGGCCATCAGGACCCAGCAGGTGTACGTGGGGGTCATCTAGGACTTGAGGCCCTGGCCCCACCTAAGGGTAGAGAAATCAGTGTCTGGTCATGGGTAATACCAGCAGCCCTACCCACTGCCCCAGAGTCCTTGGAGGCCTGAGGATCTACAGTAGGATTAGGTTCGGGGGCTTCCCTTCCAGGTAAATCCACACCAGCTTGTCTAGACTGAGCCACCTTGGCCACCGGATACTCCTTGCTCTAGCTGAGCCAGGCCCTGGACATCTCAGCAGCCCTCAACACATGGTACAGAAGTTGGCCTCTCTGAGCAGGATCAGGAGACACAAGGATCCTGGCCTGTGTGGGGTGGGGTACACCCTGTGGGCAAAAAACTGGAGCCCAAGCACCCCCTATACTGTTGAGTGGCCGCTTTTCACCTGCATGGCTCCTCATGGGCCTGAGCGACTCACTTTCGCATCCCAACCCCCAACACTCTCCTCCCCTACATACAAGTGGTCCCTAAATAGCCACTGAGAGGGAGGGAGTGAAGCAGAGAGCATCTGACGACCAAACCTACACAGCAGCAGTGGCAACTTCTGTACCATGGCTGCTGTTGACTTTCTGCTTCCTGGCTGAGACACAATGGGGTTAGGGGAGCTGCCTCCAACAGGAAAGGAGGTACCAGCTGTGCACTGTGCACTGGGCTTACCTGAGTGGCAATGATATACTGGACACTGCCAGGGCTGGGCTCCGTAGTCAGTGCGGCTTTCAGCTCATCGGAGAGAGGGGCAGGCGTCACCTGCAGTCCCTTTAGAAACCTGGGCAAACAAGGCAGAAATGCGTGACACATGTGCGGAAGGCCCAGCAGGGCAGCTCTTTAGACAGGTGGGCACGGGCTACAGAGGCTTTGAGGAGGGCAAGGGTTTGCTAGTGGGGAACTGGTCTCTTTTAAGGGTGATGAGAACACTGTGAATTAGAGATTCTGCTAATGGCCACAGAGCAGCTGGATGTGCCCAGAAGACAGTCATGCCAGGGACAAGGGACCATCATAAAAACTCAAGGCACCTGTTGCTGGGGTCCCTGAACTTCAGGGGACATCATTCCTTTCCTTTCTTCTTTTATTTTTGAGATAAGGTCTCATACTATAGCCCACACTGGCTACAAACTCACCTCCTGGGCCTGTAGGTGTAAGGCACCACACCCGGAAACACCAGTTCTTAAGAGAGGGATAAATTTTGTTCACATACCTGTACCTGTGTGGCCACTAGACAGGATTTATGCTGCCGTTTGACAGGGGGATGGCCTAAGATCTCCAGGCTTAGCGCCATGGCCACTCTCTGTTCCTAACAGAACATTCCATGCACCACATCCCCACTATGTGGGAGACACACTCACTTGTCTCCATTTGCTGAAGGGGGAAAGCTGTGCCTCACTGCAGCCACGAACTCAGCCACAGTGTCATCCAGAGTAAAGATCACAGCGTTGGGGCCTGCATCAAACGTGTACGCCACCTGGAACCCACAGCATCACCCCAGCTGTTCACTCAGCACCCTCAGCTCTGACCCTCCCTCTGTTGGGGAAGCTGGGGTCTCCCAGAGCTGGGTCACGCCCCATGGAACCAAACCAGGGAGTGGTATCACCAAACGCCCTGGCATGAGTCACCTCTACCTACAGCTCAGAAAGAGGTCATGGGGCTGTGACTTGTAGGGATCAGACAGCTAGTATATCGGCCAAGAAACAAAGCACAGATCAAATCAGAACCACAGGGTGGAGTTTGCCTGTGCCATGTGCCACAGTCATGAGGCCCGTGGAGGCACCCACAGCCCCAAACCCTTCCATCACCTTCATCTGCCCATGTACCCCATGTCTGCCCACATCCCCCACATTCTGTCACCTTTGTCTGCCCATGGTGGGTGTTGAAGCAGTGCACTAGCTGGATGATGCGCCTGGAGGTGTCGTTGAGGTAGGAGATGGGTGGGAAGGTGTCAAGGCAGGTTGCATGAAACTGGTTGCTGTCCTTCATGGTCAGCTGGGCGAAGCCAGGGAAGTCCCGCTCTTTGATGCAGCGCATCATCTCCTTCATGCGCGCAGGCACAACTGACTCTGCACGGAACTGCAGGGCAAGCAAGTGCATATACTCACTGCCAGTGCCTCTGAGCATAGGAACCCAAGGCCACCCTCCCCAGGGGGACCCTACCCTGAGCAGTGCACTGGTCTTTACCCTCCCCAGCAGGCCTTACCTTGAGCAGGGCGCTGGTCTCCACACTGGTCTGCATGCCCACCGTGCTGCCAGTCTGCTTCTTCTCTGCACTCACCTGAATGGGAAGTGGTGCTGGGACCAGCCCACAGGGGACCCGCAGCTGCAGCTCTATCCCTCAGTCCTGTCCTCTGTCATCCCAACCCTGGGCTCCTGGTCAGGGAGAGGTGATGTGGGTCTATGCCCAGCCACACTCAGATCACAGAAGGGGCACAGCCCTGCCATGTGGGAGCCACTCCTGACTCACTCTTGCCATATAGTCTTGGTTGGTCTACTTTCTAGCCCCTGCTGATCCAGGAGCCTGGTGAAGCCCTTCCATTCCTAGTCTGGGCCCTGAGTGCTAGACAGAGAGCCATCCTACTGGCTGAAGAGTCTATCCACTCACCACAAGGACGAGGATTCGGAGTTCAGGCCAGTGCCACTCGGGGGCCACCTGCTGGGCAATGCTGTCTTTCCCATCTGCCTGTTCTCCCATCTGCCACTCCACGAAGCCTCCATAAAGACTGCGGCAGGCACTGCCTGAGCCCTGCCGAGCCACTTCAGAGAGGTCACCCTCGACCCCATAGACCTGGGCCAGGGTATAAGCTACAGGCACAGAAGAGGGACATGGAGGCAGGGGAGGGTTAAGATGCCATACAGCCCAGCTCTGCTAGGCAGCCCCCACTGTACAGGAAGCAGGATTATGACGTGTCAGAGCTGGAGCTGCAGTGTCTGGACTGTTACTCCCAGCTCCACATCCCTTCACTCAGCACGAGCTTGGAAATGCAGTCAGCCTCAGAAACCACCTCAGGTCTGGGGCTGAGGGAAGTTTCTTTGAGAAGCTGCACCCCAGTGGGGCTTTGAGGGAAGGGAAGGAGTTCAGAAGGCACCAGGAACGGGGACCAAGGCACGTCCCCTGGGGGAGGCTGGTGGCACTGGGGAACACAGTATGGCAGATAGGAAGGCAAGCTTGCTGCTCATCAGCATGGGGCCAAGTCCCCGAGTCTTTAGAAGGTGACCCCTGCCTCCAGGCCTGGTTCACCCACACTCCAAGTTTGGGATGACACAGAGCCAGCTGGGCCAGGAAGCACTATCCCTGGAGCTGCAGAATAAGGGTGGTCTGAGGTCACCACTGTGGGGACTGGCTGTGCCAGGGATGGGGTGACACTGGCCAGTGGCCCGAGGTGAGAAAGCAGAGCTGAGTCTTATGAGGAGGAAGGTTCCTGACAAGTTGGTCAGACAGCCTGGATCCAGCTGTGCCTGAAGCCAGACCACCCCTTGGACTTCTCAGAGGAGCCAAGAACTCCTCCTTCCTCCAGGCACTTGCCAGCTTCGGTGGCTTCTGTCTGTCACTTGGGACACTTGGGAGCTGGAGGGCCTTTACTCATGTTTAGAGAGTACCTAGTACTGGTGTGTCCTAGGACAGGGTAAACTCTGGGACTGTGTACAGTGCCAACGACGAGCACCATACGTGTTGCCAGACAGAGCACCCCCTACGATCTCAGAGCAGAACCCTGGGTCCCTGTGGATACCTACCTAGGCATGCGTAGCCCGCTGCTGAGGACGCCAGGCCTGCAGCCGTGGGGAAGTTGTTCACAGAGGCCACATGCACCTTATAGCTGAGGCTGAGAGGCAGTGCACCCTCACCCTCCATGCTCCTCCGCTTCCGGGCCAGGCGGCGGACTGCAAAGGAGGGGGCGATGAGTGGCCCTGCCATTGGGCAGACCCTTCAGACCCACTCCTGCCACCTCACCTGCCTGAGCCTGGGAGAGGGTTGGGCATGGTTGAAAACTGGGCCAGTACCCCTAGACTTCCCATGTGGACCTGGGGATCTCCAACCCAAGCTCCTCTCTGTCTGCTATGGGACACCTCCTCTGGGCACTCAGGTTCTCCAAAGGCACAACAGGGGCTCCTGCCCCACAACTCACTCTCCCTCAGGCAGGCCTGGAGGCGCGGCTGCCCCACAGCCTCCTCCCGGCCATTCAGCCAGATGCGGTCCTCCGTGAAGTCCTTGCTGATGGCAGCAGTTGTGGTGGTTCTTAGCTGGGAAGAAAAAAGGGGCCAGAGCTGGGGGCAATATCACCAAGCACCTCTTTCTGTCAAGAAGGCCTTTCCTATCCACGACTGGCACGGCTGTTCACCTGGGCAGACACAAGCACGTAGAAGGCCAGGGAACCCACCACAGTCAGCTCTGGGTGGGCAGCAGGAAAGCCAGCAAGCCCATCAGGCTGGGCACACCAGCCCTGCCTCTGCTACACAGGGATAGATCTGTCCTATACCCACAGCAGAACCCTGGATACCTGCCCTTCCTGAGTAAAGGGCTCTGGGTATAAAAGGAGCCCTGAGACTTCGAAGTGTCTGTGGCTAAGGATATGTGCCAAGCAGCCCTAACAGAAACCAGAAGGCTGCAGGCCTAGCTGCCATTCCCACGAGAAGCCAATCCACTCCAGCCATCGGGTGAGAAGCGCCTGGCTGGTGGCCAGAGCTCAACGTCTGTGTGATGCATGCTCACCTGGTCCTGGTGCAGAGTAACACTCAGTGAGGAGTTGATGGGCAGGATCAGCGCCTCGTCCCTCTTCCCCCCTGGAACAACAACCCAGGCTGATGAGTTCCTGGCACCCCCACCGGTATGGCCCACAGTTACCCCCACCCCTTTGTAGCTGGCCCCATCCTGCTGTCATTGCACAGGCTGTGCCACCACCTCAGAAAGTGCCCCCTAGATTGCCTCTGCACTCAGGGGACAGCTGGAGGTCAGTCCACCTCTGCATCTCTCTTTCACTCCACAGATCCACTGTGTGTGACCTGTAGGCACAAAGAGCTCATCAGGTGGCTAGTGGTCCATTCCCCCACCTGCCTGTCCACCCATGAGAGCTGGGTTCCTAACCACACCTCAAATGGCACCCATCAGAATCGCTCTTCTTCAGCCCAGCATGCCCCACGCTGCCTGCTACAGCCAGTGCAGTCAACCTTCCAGAAAGCCAGTGGAAAAGTGGCTTCCTGGCAGCACCCATTCCCTTATCTCGGGCACCATGTCTTTGTTAAGCCTCTACATGTGCACCATTGATTTTGGGGTGTCTGGAGCAAGAGCTAGCAAAGCACTGGTGTTGGGCAGGTGAACCCCTCCATCCTTCACCATCCACAGACATCTACACATGAGCAGCTCTCCTGGAGTCACAGGGCTGCTTTCAGGAAAATGGAGCAGATGCCCTATCCACTAAGACTGAAGCCCAGGTACCCTACAAAAGCCAGCAGGAGGCTCACAGGTAAGAGAAGGAAGGCCCTGGGCCCTGGGCTCCAGGTATGGCTGGGGTGCATGACCTAGGGTGTGCTCCCTGGGTTTCTTTGTGTTCACAGGTTCCAGACCACCAACACTTGCACCCCATCCCATCCAGGGCACCAGGAAAAGGCTGCCCGGTGAGACAGAAATCTACCCTCCATCCAAGGCCCTGGCAGCCTGGCTAAAATGAGGTCAGAGTTTCATCTCTGCTGCCTGCCACACTTCATCCACAGGGGCTGCTTTGGACAAGTGCCACCCAGCCCTTCTGAGTATAGCTGGAGGAGGCCTGATGGCTCCTGCAGGAACTCCACAGAACCCCCAGCAGAACCAGGTTTCACTATACTGTGGGTAGAGCCTGGGCTCCTGTCTCCATCTGCCAGGAAAGAGACCCATTCTCCAACAGTCAGAGGTGTTTTTGTTTTTTTTTTAAACCAGAGTTAAGGACAGTTCATAACTGCCATTGCCATGTGGGTGCTGGGAATTGAACCCAGGTCCTCTGCAAGAGCAGTCAGTCCTCTTAACGGCTGAGCCACCTCTCCAGCCCCCAGTCAGAAGGTTTTAAGAAGACCTGAGTCACAGAATACAACAGAAACCCCTTAGGTTTCAGCCAACCATTTGTCACACCAAAAAGATTGCAGACAGAAGAGCAAACAGACATGAGCCTCATAGATGTCACGATTACTGCCAATGATCCTTAAGCAATGCTTTGAAAATGCTTCGATGAGCAATCAGAAACAAATGAGAAGGGTCCACAAAAAACAAAAGGTAAAGAATGAAATGGAAACATTATCCCAGCATGTCTGTGAAAAGGAGGCCAGCCTGGTCTACAAATTGAATTCCAGACCAGATGGGGCTATAGGGAGACCTGTCTCGAAAACCAAACAAGAAAGGAGAGAGAGAGAGAGGGAGGGAGGAAGGAAGAGATCAGAACAAAAGGGAACCTTCTGTTTTCTTGGTTTTGAGCCAGGGTCTAGTTATGCAACCCAGGCTGGTCTAGAGCTTTATTTAGCCTCCCAAGCACTGGGGTGACAGGTGTGGGATGCAGAATCTGCATCTAACAACATCCTTAGCATGAAAGACAGTATTTTCATCAGAAAAGAGGCAAGGATGCCCACTCCCAACAACCTCACCCTCTTCTCTAAAACAAATTCTCCCCACTGCCATCAGGCAAGAAAGGGAATACAAGGCATAGAGATCCAAGGTGATAAATGATGAAAAACTGCCCCCAAAAGTGCACAAGACATGACAGTTCACGTAAACAACTCAGAGAATCTACAAAAATCCTCAGGATGGCCGGGTGTGGTGGCGCACGCCTTTAATCCCAGCACTCGGGAAGCAGAGGCAGGCGGATCTCTGTGAGTTCAAGGCCAGCCTGGTCTACATAGTGAGTTCCAGGACAGCTGGTGTTTCAAAACGACCAAAAAAAACAACAACAAAATCCTCAGGATGAAGAATGCTCAGCAGAACACAAGGTTAATGTGTTAAAAAAAAAAAAAAAAATCTATCCTAGCCAGGTGCGGTGGCACAGGACTGTAATACTGTAATACCAGCACTTGGGAGGTGGGGACAGGAGGATTAAGGAGTTCAAACCTCATCAAGGAAAGGACAACATTTAATAGGAACAGGAACAAAAGGCTCTGAGGGAAATACAAATTAAAAACCACAGTGAGCTTCTGGAGGCCCACCTGTCAGAGACTAAAGTGAGAAACAGGGACCATGGGAATGGGGGCGCTAGTATGTGGAAACCTGGGACTCTGTAGCTGGTGGGAACACAAGCTGGATCGGCCACCCAGGGAAGGAGAATTCCTCAACTGCCACAGGACTCTGCAGACGGGAGAAGGATGAAAACTTATGTTCTTACAAAGACCTGCCCGCAAATGTGGCGCTTTACTGCTAACAGAGCCCCTCAGGTGTTAACTGCTGGGTGCCTACTCCATGGAGCAGCGCCTAGCAACAGAGGGCAGCGAACCCTTCCTGCACCCACCTACGTAAGCTTCCAGAAAACTGTGCCAAATCAAAAGAGCCAGACTCAATATGCAGGCTGTGTGATCCACGTACAGGGCGGGCTCTCAAAGACCAGGATGGAAAGAGAGCTGGTGTGAGGCTGCTGGGGCCTGCTCCCCAAGCCGCAGCTCTCCAGGTTTACAGCCGCGAGGGGGAGGAGCTTGAGGCGGCCTTCAGGAGTGACCCAGCACCCCCGGCTGGGGTTGGAAAGGGGCAGCACCGCCTAGACTAGCTGGCCGGAGCAGCGAGGTGCCTGTTTCCCCATCCCAGTCCCTGTAATCTCCGCCCTGGCCCGCAGTGACACGGGTCTCCAGCTCCACTACCCTGGATGCCTGCAATGACCTGGGACTCCAACTCTGCCACCCCTGAACCCGGCCGCGGTGATCCCTCCCCAGCCCTGTGCCGCCCCACCCCGCCGTGATGATCCCTC